TATCCGAGAGATGAGAAGAACTCCTTGGCTTCGCCTCAATATATCAATGGATTAGAAATAATTTGAATATTGAATACAAGTTTGAATACAAGTTAATTACATACGAGTTGTGCCCATAAAAGCTACCCTTCCATCAGCCATAAATAATATATTATCAAAGAGTGCAAACACTTGAGACGAGGGCTGATGTATAGTACAGATGATGGTCCGGCCCTCCGATGCCATAGTCTTCAGGCATTCAATCAAATTTTGGGCCATAAATGAGTCCAAACCACTGGTCGGCTCATCACTAATACATACATTTGATTAGTATTTGAGATCAAATCGTAAGAAAGATATTTCTCACCAAAACAAAACCGACGGATTGGTTAACACCTCTGAAGCAAAGGCCAGTCTTTTCTTTTCTCCACCGGATATGCCTTTAAAAGTAAATTTACCCCCAATTCTAGTGTTCATACATTTCGTGAGATTGAACTGAAAAAATATATTAAATCTTTAATAAATGATATGAAGACATAAATGCTTTATGAATACCTTTTTCATGACTTGCTCGACACAATCGATTCTCTCGTTTTTACTCATTTTCGGATCCATTCGTAACAATGACTTCATTATAGTTGCAGAATATTATCCATACATTGAAATAGATTTTTATTTATTTTTTTTATTAATTATGAGAATTACCTGAAATATTAAATGCTCCCGGACTGTAATCAATGGCTGAAACATATCTTGTTGCTGTATATACGAGGAAATGGATGCAATTTTTGACGCTTTCACTACCTGTCCATTTAGTAGGATCACCCCTTTCACCGACACTTTTGACATATCCCTTGCGGTCAATACATTCAATAGAGTGGTCTTACCGGCGCCACTGAATGCCATAATTTTAAAATTTAATTTAAAAGTATGTAGGTTGTATTTTTGTAAAAATTAATAACCCACCTTGCACCCATTATAACCAATAATTGTCCCGCCTTTGCTTCACCGGATACTTTTAACAAATAGCAAAATTATCAATATAAAATTTTGTCCTTGTTAATATAGTGTTAATTGTTATGTTTAAATTAATTAAAATTTACTTATAATTAAATATTATTACCGTTTCTTAAGACTTCTTTGGGAGCTTGGTTAGTTTTGTACAGATTATATATAGACTTCTGTGGTTTTGTCATCACATGTATGTTAAGCCATGACAAGGACACCGATTGTATGACATCTCCTACCTGTCCATTCATTTCTTTTAATTCTAACACAACTTTCATTA